CACAGAAAGAGCCTTGCATCCCTCCTGTCCCTCAGCCACGTGCACAGGCCAGGCTCCTCCAGCTGCCTCTGGGACACCCCAGCACAGCCCGGGGGGCGGTCGAGATGGGTGCTCAAGTGTGAGGCACTCCCACTGCGGGGAGGGGAGCGAGTGGCCCAGAGGGATTGCCTCTGGCAGGAGGCAGCCAGGGCTGGGGAGAAACATAGGCAACCCCAAGGAGAAAGGGGGGTGCAGCCTGCCCCACTCCTGCCCTCCCAGCCTTGCCGAGCAGCGGGTGCCCCAGTGCCAGCGGCTCACACATGCGACAAGGGCACCTGCTTGTGGTAGGCAGCAGCAGCGCCCGCCCTGGCTGCCAGTGCCGTGCTGTCCAGGGCCGCCCCACCAGGCTTGGTGCCGCGGCAACACTGCCCCGAGAAGCGACGCCAGGACTCCAGCGTCTTCCCCGACCAGATCCAGACGCCGGACGTGATGCCCACGGCCAGGCCCATGAAGTACTTGAGCATGAAGACGGCATAGTCAGGCTTGGCGGGCGGCGGCTCGCCGGGGCAGGCGCAGGCATGGGCACGCTCCCAGCGCTCCCGCGAGTGCTGCTCGTAGACGTGGCAGGCCACGACGGCAGCGGCGGGCACGGTGTAGAGGAGGCTGAAGACGCCGATGCGGATCATGAGCTTCTCCAGCTTGTCCGTCTTGGTGCCGCCCTGCTTGATCACGCTGCGGATGCGAAAGAGCGACACGAAGCCGGCCAGCAGGAAGAGGCTGCCAGTGAGCAGGTAAAGCACGAGGGGCGCCAGCACGAAGCCGCGCAGGTTGTCCACGCTTTGGTTGCCCACGTAGCAGATGCCGGCCACCGGGTCGCCGTCCACCGAGCCCAGCGCCAGCACAGCAATGGCCTTGGCACTAGGCAGCAGCCAGGCAGCCAGGTGGAAGTAGGGCGAGTAGCTGGCGATGGCCTCGTTGCCCCACTTCATGCCGGCCGCCAGGAACCAGGTGAACGAGAGGATGACCCACCAGATGGAGCTGGCCATGCCGAAGAAGTAGACGAGTAGGAAGACCAGTGTGCAGAGCGCGGGGCCCGTGGTCTCATACTGCACGTGGCGCAAGTCGGCGCTGCAGGCCACGCGGGCGTGCCCGGCCACCAGGCGCACCAGGTAGCCAGCCGACACCAGCAGGTAGCAGGCGGACAGGAAGATGATGGGGCGCTCGGGGTACTGGAAGCGCTCCATGTCGATGAGGAAGGTGGCCACGGTGGCGGCGGTGGAGAGGAAGCAGAGGATGGCCCAGAGCCCGATCCAGAAGGCGGCGAAGGTGCGCTCGTCGGCGCTGAAGTAGGGCTGGAAGCAGGGCACGGCGCAGTTGGGCACCTGCCCGGCGCGGGCGCGGTTGTAGAGCGGGTGCGACTCGGGCGCGATGGGCACGAAGGGCTCCCGGCAGCGGCAGGCGCGGGCGCAGGGCGCGGGCAGCGCCGGCTCGGGCGG